ATGAGGCTGGTACGTTGAGAATCATGGTCATGTCCGTGGGTGTCGCATCCTTCTCGTCATTGGGCTCTGGCGGGGCCAGAAGCCATTCTGCGCCCCTGCTCTCGGCGTAGCGGAAGCCCGCGTAGCCGCCGACGGCAGCCGCGACCGGCGCCCACAGGACGAGCATCAGCAAGTAGCTCGAATGGTCGCTCGCGACTAGGCCGTCCACAGAGGCGCAGACCTCCGCGTCGTAGTAGTAGCCGTTGTGTTCGGCAGGGGGGCCCTCGCAGCCCTGCAAGAGCGCCGCCGCTGCCGTGATCATTGCAGGGCCGCCGAGCGGTTGCAGCTGAGAGGGCTAGCCGCGCTCCGCGAGCGCCGCGCCCGAGCAACCGCCCCCACGTCGAAGTCCACCTCATCCGACTGCTCGTCGCTCGCCACGACCTGGCCCATGTCCGCGTTGATGCCGCTCAGAGCCCTGAGCTTCACGAAACGATCGTGTCCGAGAATATTCGTGCCCAAGTCTGCGTTGTTGTCGTCCGCGCCGACGGCCCTGGCGTCGATCAGCCTGCGCTTGATCGCCTGCTTGGGCCACAGCACTCGCGCCCCCAGACTCCTGACCTTGCCAACTCCTTCGCGCCTGGCCACCCCTCGGGCCGCCGACGCATCCGCGTGTGGCGCAGTCGCCACCGCGAAGCCCATGAACTCCAGCAGTGACTTGAAATTGAGAATGTCCTCGGCGACCGCCGTCGCCGCGTAGTACTCCGCAACGCCTGAGCTGGCAGCCACTATCGCCCGGCGTCTTCTGAAAGAGCGCATCGGTCGCAATCTTGCCACTCGACCGTTACCCCCCCGCGTGCAGATCGCCTGCCCAGTCGCTATCGCCGCAAACCACCAGCTCCACATGGGTGCCCACCGACGGCTTCGGAAGCCAGTTCACCGCCCCCCTGGCCCCTAGGAGGTACCTGACAAGCCTCTTCAGAACGGCGAAGGCACCGACGGCGGGACCTGACAGCATCCTGCCAAGGAGGCTGACCTCGCAATGGCAATCCGCCCTGTCCTGGGCGCAGACCAGCAGCGCCCCCGCGCATGAGCGGTAGACTCCAGCCTGCTGCTGAGGCAGGGCTGGCGCGCTCCCCACGAGCGCCTTTTGAACGGGCACTCTCGGCGAATATGCGGTGTTCGAGCTGCCCAAACCGAGGGTGTCAAGCGCGCAGTCCGGGCACTTGGGGTTCGCCCGCAGCACGGCCCCGCGCTCGAACCTCGCCCCCAGCCTCTTCAGGTGCTCGTAGGTGGCGCCGCGCTCGTGAATCTCGCCGCCACTGAGGGCCACGCATAGCTCGAGCTCCTCGCGGAAGCGCCCCAGCGCGCCCCGCTGCCCAGCCATGCGCAGGTCGCCCATGCGCATCTCGCTATTGGGGTTGTAGAAGAACTGCGGTGCCACCTCACACCTCGCCACGTGCATCTCGCCCGCGAGGATGCCCGCCCTATGCTCAGCCCAGCCCGGCGCCGCCGTGCGCCTGCCAGGCAGCTGCTTCTTCAGCTTCCAGTAGATGTCCGCGCCCTTGCCCTCCGCCCCGAGCACGTCCAAAGACTCCTGCGGGGAGGCCACCACCGCGCCCTCGCACTGGGGCGCTCGGTAGCAGGCGCCCGTCGCGTCCAGCGCCATGACCTCGAAGCCGCGCTCGAGGGCCACGAAGTCGACGAGCCTGTTGTAGATCGGAGCCGACCCTGGCGCAAACAGGTCGTCGCGCCACTCTGCCAGCGGAACTCGCGGCAGACGAATCGGACCTTGCGCTGCCACTCCCGCTGCGCCGGCCTCCATCTCCACTGCTTCTCCCAGCGCGCGGCGATGTGCTTCATCCCATTCGCCTCCGACTTGAGAATGTCCTCCCCGGCGCCGTGGTCCAGGAGGCTCTGCAGGTGCTCTTGCGTGAGCTTCTTGTCGGGCTCGCCCTGCATGTCCACATCGAACGCGCCCTCGGTCGGGTCCTCGACCTCATCCGAGACCTCCCCCCAACACGTCGGGCGAGTCGCCCACGTTGCCGACGTCGAGCGCGCGGACTGCCGCAACCCGGGCACGCTTGCACTCTGATACCTCTGCCGCCATCGGCGCCCCGCGCCTCTCTTCCTGCGAGGGCGCCCCCCCCTGGTCACATCACTCGGCGCCGACGGCACCGGCGGGGGCTGCGGCTGCGGCGGGGCCGCCGCTGCCGCGGGAGGCGCCTGCGGCTCCGCATGGGGCCGAGCTGATGCCGCTCCGCCCTCCGGAGGCGCGGGCTGTGCCTGCTGCTGCTGCTGCGCGTCTGCCTTCGGGCGCTCCGTCGCCACCTACCGCGGCGCCCGTCGTCGCCTCGACCTCTCCGGAGCCGTCCTGGTGGCCCAGGGCAGGCCAGTCACCGTCAGCTGGAGCCCATTGTTCGGCTACCTGCCCTCAATAGCCGTCGCGAAATCCGAGCGCGATCGACCCCCCGAGGCGTCGTCAGCAGGTGCCCCCAGGACTCGTCAGACCTGCCGACCCAGATCCCGCGGCCCCACCGCGCCTCTCCACGGCGCAAGCGTCGTCCTCCAGTGAGCCCGCGATGCGCTGGCCGCGCTATCCGACGCAGCGCCGTCTCGCCGAAGTCGCAGACGTCGCCATTGCAAGGCGCCCCTGTCGCTATCTGTCCCCCAGCCCGTCGTGAAAACCTCTCGCGCAGCCACCCAGCGTGCCGCGTCGCCCAGGCCCAGATCGGCATCGCCACTGCGATCCTGGTGCCGTAGCGCTTCTCGAGGTCCAGCTTGAGGACTCGCGTCTGGCCCTCGACTATCTTCACCGCTGCCTCCGCTGAGTTCGACTGGCTGCTGCGTTTAGGGGTCAGCTCTGGCGCGACCTTGCCCGCCAGCTCGTTGACCACTCCGCCCAGGATGGCCTCGGTCGCCTGCTCTGCGTCGGCCCTGACCCTGCACCCGCCAGTCTCGAGCCGCTGCACGAAGGACTTGATGCTTGCAATCGCGCGTGGAGAGGCCGCCTTCGAAGGGCGCAGCATGACCTTCACCACTCCAGCGTTCGAACTGAAATATGCAAGCATCGTCGCGCGCGCGCCCCCCACTTGAGCCGGGCCCCCCATCCCCGCCCGCCGTCTCGCAGAAGCCGAAGTCATTGCTGATGAGAGGGGCCTTCTGCTCAGCGCCCCCGAGCATGACCAGCGAGCGCGGGGCATCTGGAGCCTTGCCCCTGACGCGCCCCCCGCACCGCGGCGCAGCTGGCGAACGTGCGAGGCGACGCTGCCTCTCCTCCGCGCTCGGGGCCAACGGCGCTGGCAGCTACTTCGCCTCGACGTGGTCATGCTGGGTCCCGAGCTGCTCCTTGACTGCCCGTTTGCGCGCCTTCCCTGCGGCTGCGCGTCGGCGCGCGGCTTCTGCCGCGACGAGCCCCCCCACGCACGCCACCACCACCACCACAGCTCTGCCATGGCCCCATTGATGGGCACGAACAGCTCTCGCAGTCGAGTCCTGAGCGTGCCGACCGAGCTGTCCGCATTGAGAACTGGGGCCGTCGCCGCAGCCTGCTGCTCTGCTGCGCCACGGCAGCGGCGAACCTCGGCAGGCCCCGCGGACGCGATCGGGAGCCTGAGGCTTATCCGCGCCAGCTCCAGCTGCACGCCGCGGTGGCCCTCCGCCATGTAGAGCCCCTCCTCCAAGCGGAGATTGAATCTGAAGCCCTGCCTGAGCAGCTTGCCTGCTCAGGTCGTCGTTCACGTCGGCGGCGAGGAAGTCCGCGTCGCCGCGATGCCTTCCTGCGTGACCATCTGGGCTCCACGTGGGCCTGCCGCAGGCAGCGGCCTCTTCTGAACGTCAGAGCGCCTGGGCGCCTTCTCCGCGCCCTTGACAGGCGCCTCTGGGACGAACTTGCGCCTGCACATGTGGTCGCCACTGCCGCTGTTGATCAGGATGGAGCCGCCTATCTTCGCCACCTGGCCATCCGACTCCGTCGAGACCGCGAGCGCCCAGCCGCCAGGCTGGCCGTCCTAGTAGCCCGGCGCCGAGCACACTACACCGCCCTGCTGCGGGCACATCGGCGCCGCCGACTCGCCTTGGACCGCTCTGGCGTTGCCTGTGTCCTGCTGCTTCTTCGCGTCGTCTGCCTTCTTATTCCTGCAGTCCTGTCGCTTGTGGCTCCACTTGCCGCGGTAGCCGCACTCGCCGTCAAAAATACTCGGGCTGCTGGCCTTTGCCGCGCGCGCGCGTTTGCCGCCGTCTCGGTTCTTAGACTTCATCTTGGAGTCCTTGCCCTCCTGGGCCTTGCCCGCTTTGCCACCAGACCTGTCCATCTTGCCTGCCTTGCTGGTCGTGCCGCCAGCCTTGCCCATGGGAGGGCCTCCTCGCGCTGCATCCACCTGCATCGGTACAACTCCGCCCGTGTCGGGCACGCGCGTGAACGTCCGCCCTTGATTGTAGTAGCCCCTGATGTGACTGCGAGCCGCGCCGAATGTGAGCTTCACGTCCTCAGGGGCCTGTCTCAACGCCTCTCGATAGGGCTCGGGCGCGTGCTCCAGCAGCACGCTCACGCGGACGCTGTCAGAGACGCCCTCACCGCTCTGGCCCACATACTATGCCACAATAGCCTCCCAGGCCGTGAGCGACTGGAAGAAGTTGATCCCCGACTCGCGATCCCTTGCCAACTTGTCCTGTGGGCTGAGGGTGAACCGTAGCATTGCCGTCCATCTGTCGCCTGTCCTACTCTCGCACTCAATCTTGAGCTGGCGCCACGCTTCGAGGCCGTTATTGCGTGAGAGCTTCACCGCGCACCACGTGATCGGTAGGTGCCACAGCCGCTGGCTGACTGCCTTCGCTCGGTCGCCCAAAGCGTCAGCCAGCACAGGGTCGCGCCTCAGCGCCACCTCCGTCATGAGGTCCTCGAACCCGAGCAGCGCCGTGTATGCCTCGAAGCGGAGACTCCAGTCTCCCCATCTCTCGTCTGTGCGGTCGAACCGCTGCAGACGCATGTCGGTCCGCACATCGACCACGTCGATCGCCACCATCGCTGCCCGCGGAAGAGCTGCGGAAGGGCGGCGGAAGTGTGGTGCCCGAGCTCACCACCTGTGGGCTGGGGAACCGGGTTCCGCTACCATGTAGCGAGGTCGACTGATACGCTTATCATCTTCAAAGCCGAAAGGAGTTGCCCATGCTACTGCTTCACTGCCGTGCCATGTTATCTTCTGCAACGGGGGGGGTCGACCCCAGCAAACACAATCTAGAACATAGTTCCATGAAGAACCCCTTCCAATTTCTTTATAAAGCACTTGTATATGTGGAATCCACGGGCGCTCCATTTTATCATGAGGCTTCATTTTAGAATCCTATATACACAGGGGCCGTGGTGTACACACGCGCTGTGGTGCGTGCAGGCACTGCGGTGCACACTGGTGTTGCACACGGCTGTTGTGGTGTATGCAAGCGCTGTGGTGTACACAAGCGCTGTGGTGCGTGGTGCGGACACTGTGGTGTACACTGGCGCTGTGTTGCACGCAGGCACTGTGCGGTCATAGGCGCTGTGGTGTGCATAGACGCTGTGGTGCATGCAGGCACTGTGGTGTACAGGCGATGTGCTGCAGATCGCCACCTGCATAATGCTGCTACCCGTCCTCGGTCAAGCATTCCCAGAAGCCGCCGGCGCCAAACGCGACGTCACTGGCCCTCTCTCCCCCCCCCCCTGGCGACGGCCGTCATCACCCCAGGAGACGAAAGAAAAACAAAAAAATGCTTCTGTAGGGCCCACATGGGGCCTTGAGGGCCCCGAAAGGGCACCTGTCTCCCCCCCCAGTTATCGCCCCCCCATTAATTCGCGTCCGAGGCCTGGCGGCCTCCTTCTCGCCCAGAGCCCTGCCGTGCTCCGCCGGGGACGCGGGCCTGCCGCACGCGGGGCAGAAGCGCGCCCCCTCCTCCAGCGGCTCTCCGCACCCGCGGCACGGCCGCCGCAGCTCCGGCTGCTGGGGCGCCGAGGCGGCCGGGGAGGGCGCCCCCGCGGAGCCCACGGACCTCAGGAGGCAACTACTGTTAGGTCGGGCATGTCCCCCTACAGGCGGATGTTGGAGGAAATATGGAATCTACCAAACATGCCGAACAAAAAACAACAAACAAAAAAAACAAAGTCGTCAAACTACTATTTTCAACTATTTTTTAATGTTCCTCCTGTAGAGGGACAAGCCCGACTTAAAACTACTGGGAGGTCTTCGTCGGAAAGATAAAGGAGGCGAACGATGGGCAACGATAGGGGGGATAGGGATAGGGGGGGATATCGACTTGGAATCGGCGATACATCGCCGATAGATCGGCGATGAGCCCCCGATAATGAATCCGCACACTCCTGGGCAGGTTGGTGCTCTCCCGGGCCCCTCTCGGCGATCCATAGGCGATTGGGGGTCGATGCGTCCCTCCCTGTGCCCATCCCCCCCTATCCCAGACCCCCGACGTCATGATTCCTTCACGGCGTTGACCCCCAGAGGTCTGGACCCTGTCCCGGGGACCTGCGTTTCATCCCGGGTCGTTCTTCGACGGCCCCGAGGCCCGGGAAGGGCCCCCAGAGGCCGACAGTGGCGGAACACCTCCTGTCGTAGGCCCGGGAAGCCCAGGAGTTGCAGCCGCCCCGTCGGCCCACGTCGGCCCACGTCGGGCCCCGCCGCCGCCAGCGGCGAGGCGGCGCTGGCCGGCCCCGCGGCCGCGGCGCCGCCGGGCGGCTCGGGCGAGGCGGCGCGGCCGAGCGGCTCGGACGAGGGGGCCCTGCCAGCGGGGTCCATGGCGGCCCGGTGGCGGGCGGGCCTCGGCCGGGCTCTCTGGAGCCGGGGCCCAGGGCGTGGTGCTATACCCAGACCTCCTCGCGCTGTGTAAGTTTATATATATATATATATATACACAAACACACACACACAAAACATATATATATATATAATAACAATAATAATATAATAATAATAATATAATAATAATAATAATAATAATAATAATAATAATAATAATAATAATAATAACAATAATAATAATAAATAAATGAAAATAATAATAATAATAATAATAATAATAATAACAATAGTCATAATAATAATTATTAATATTAATATAGTACTAATAATAATACTAATACGAATACTAATAATAATAATATACATAATAATAACAGTAATAATAGTAATACAAGTAATACTAATAATAATACTAATGATAATAATTGTAACAATAACAATAATAAGAATAATAATAATACGAATTGTAATAATAACAATCATAAGAATAATAATAATAATAAACGAAGAAACAACAAAAAAAAACTATGGATTTATTCGCTATTTTCGGCCCCCGGAGGCCCTTCCTGGGCCTCGGGGCCGTCAAGAGACAACTCGGGATGAGAAACCGGTCCCCGGGAGGGGGTCCAGGCCGCTGGGTGTGTCGACGTGGTGAAAAAATCACGACGTCGGGGGTCTGGGCAGGAGGAAGCAGCTCCGGGGAGCGCTCCGCAGGAGTGGTCCAAAGGCTGCGGGGCCCAGTTGAGGGGCCACAAGGCTGGAGGAGGGCGGACTGGTGGGATATGAAGCGGGGCTGACCTGGATGAGGCCGGGCTTCGACCACGGACAGATCAGCGCCGAGGCTGAAGTGGAGCTCCCAGGAGTTGCGCCTTGATGTTGATGCTGACGTGGTGATGCTGAAATTGGTGATGATGCGGATGTTGATGCTGATGCCGATGTTGGTGTTGGTGGTGATGGTGGTGATGGCGATGGTGATGGTGATGGTGATTGTGACGGTGATGGTGACGGTGCTGGTGTTGATGATGGTGATAGTGATGGTGATGATGATATATTGATAGGGTGATGGTGATGATGCTGATGATGATGATGATGGTGACGATGGTGGTGGTGATGGTGATGGTGATGGCGACGGCGATGGTGATGATTACGATGCTGGTCATGATGATGATGATGATGATGATGATGATGGTGATGGTGGTGATGATGATGGTGATGATTTTTTTGTTCGGTCAGCTGGAATTTGGGCTGGACACACAGCGCGCCCATGGTGTCCCCGGCACACAACTTCCGCGCATCGCGTGCTTAACGACTACGGTCACCACATCCATGTTGCATCCCTGCACCAGCTTCTCTATTCCTGACATGTGGACGGCACGAAGGAAGCTCGCAGGACTACGTTACCACGTCCATTTTACCTTAACTTCCAACCAGCTAGGGCGACAAGGATGATTCGGCCCCCCACCATCAATGATTCACTTCACACGAATTGGGCACCCCACACTTCGCCACACATTCCTCCAAAGACTGTTTACGCCGATTTCCGAACATCCACTTCTTGCGAAGTCCAACCAGAAGGAAAATCGCAGCGCAAGTCGCAGTTGCAGCAGAATTGACGCAACTCTGCGCCAGTTCTTCGAACATTTCCAAGGCTTCTGCACGAATGGCGGATGCGCGTTCGAACTGCTCAACTTGTGATTTGACGTCAAACATACTCAAGCTCTTGATCGCATCCTGAGTCACGCTGGCTTCAAACATGTTTCTCGCCATGACCACCGCCCGATCGCGATCGGTAGTTTGATTATGAGAGCCGCGCCAAGCTTCATCGCGCAACTCGACAACAAACTTCAATGTCGGCTGTGGCTTCTAATGGATGGCCATTGCTCTTACGAGTTGAAGTGGGAGGTACGCTAGAATTTTTCAGACACATGCTTAACTTGCTACTACTGCAAGAACACCTGTACGGCTGGAGATGGAGATGACGTAATCGATATGGAATCCCAGGCCTCCCAGCAAGAAATGACTGCCGTTACAAGGGACCGGGCAAGCGCCCCACGCGTATTTCACCAACTTCTGCGCACTGAAAGGGGAGACCGTAGAACCCTGCGCTCCATCCCATCGAAGTACTCCACCACAGCGTTGTACCATTGACGAGCGCATTGGCTCCAAAGGATCCGAGAACATCCTTTTCGTCCCAGCGCAGGAGGGCCCAGGATCGGATCGACAAGTCGGATCGGCGATCGGCATGAATCGGATCGTCGGAAATCGGCAGCTGAGTCGGGAAAAGTCGGATCGGCAGAAATCGGCAGGCTAGTATGCCTCCAATAAGAAATCGGAACTCAAATCGGAATCCCAGATCGAATCGAATCGGAATCGGAAACCATCGAAATCGAACCGAATCGAATCGGAGGAATCGAAACGAGCCCTGCCAGCGTGATCAGACACGTGATGGCACCCTGATGCCACGAGATCATGACCTGCAGCCTGCTCCTCCATCTCAGCGCACACGGTTTGGGGGTCAACAACATCAGCATCGTCGTCCAGAACTGCGCGGTGCCATGCTGTCGTGCGCACGAGCTTCTGCCACGCATGCGGGCGCGATAGCACACATCCCACGGTAGAGGGAAGCAATTAGTGAGCACCCCCCCTGCCCCCCTGCCTCCTCCTCCTTCTCCTCCTCTCCCTCCCCCTCCTCCTTCTCCTCCTCTCCCTCCTCCTCCTTCTCTTCCTTTCCCTCTTCCTCCTGCTACTCGTCGTCGCCCTTCCGTCTCCCTCCTTCCCGTTCCTTCGGTGTCGCCTTTCTGCATGCCCAAGTGGGCGTGTAGCGAATAGGTTCCCCATGTAGTTTTCTGGTAGAGGGAAACAATTAGTGAACACCCCCCCTGCCCCCCAAACCCAAGGTTGGCACGCGCGGGGGAGACTGCGGTCGAGGCGCAACGCATCAGACCCACCGCCAACTCTGAACACTGGGGGGAGCGGGAGGCGTTCACGGACGAATGTGGCAGCAGTGTTCGCTAATTTTTGTTCTGAGGCCTGTGTCAAGCCCATACCACGTGTGCGGTCGCGAAGCATGAGCGCGACAAGATCTCTTCTGACACAACCCCCTCGGAGTTCAGAGCACAGAACTGCTCGTCGCTGAGGCCACGTGTGCCCCAAGCGTTCGGTATCACGATATTCCGAGATGCAGCTTTCAACTTAGCTAACATCTCGGACGCGTACTCCCGCCTTGCAGGCATGGTGGTGAT